TAAAAAAAAAACCCCACCCCTAAACCCACCCGCCCAAAGCTATCAGGTAACGAGGTACGTATCGGCACAGGCTTCGCCGGCACGTGAGCCTCTCCTTCTGTAGTCATTTCGAGTGGAAGAGCCGGGTCATCCCCCGCGGCAAGGCCTCGCCGGGAGAGGCGTTCCTGGAGCACGGTAACAAAACGGTGGAGCCTGTCCTGCGGCCGGGGCAGGGACACCTACCTCGTACCGCCTGCTGGGAGCAGCCCAGCACCCCGGAGCGAAGAGCAAGAACGGCTACAGCTGTGTTAGCAAACCATTTATGGCAGAACTCCCTTGCGCACATCAATCTTTGTAACAATAACGAACGCTTTTATACGTTCGGTTTTTATCAGAAGCCTGTTCGTTTTTCCCGGCTTTATTTCTAGGAATAGTTTTTAGTCTTTTCGGTTTAGTGCTCTTCTTTAACGGGACTGCTTTTTCACCAACAAATGAATCATCAGAGCGCCTCTTGTTTTTTAACGTGGTATCAACTCTGTCCTTAGGAGCACGAGACCCATCGGGACTTTTCTGCGGCGCTTTCCACTTCTCCCCGCAGCGCTTCACTCGTATCTTTCTTCCCATCAGAAGAGAGTCGTTGAGTTTCAGAGCAAGGTGTACAGCGTCCGTATTCTACAAGAACAGACATTCAGTTTAAAAGCAGCACTACTTCCGGTTGATTGCTTTCAAATAAACAGTTGCCTGCCTTTAATTTTACAATAAAGAGCACTCAAACCGCTCTATTTATTGAATGACAACATCTCTGCTCTGCTCAGGAACACCAGCACACCCGCGTAGCCCACGTATCGAGGCACAGACACTTGAAAACGGGCTATGAAACGGCTTACGTGAGACGTGAAAGACAGAGGCAGAGAGATGAAGGAGAAACGGGGGAAAAAAGGTATTGGGCTGCAGGAAATAAACTGAGGAAGATGAGGCTGGGAGACTGCCACGAGAAAGCAAGCCGTACTGATTCCAAAACGGAGAGCCAGTAAGCAAACCGGCTGCAGGAAAGAACTCCACTCATGTTTTGACACATAAGAAATGGGAGAGCGCTGCAGTTACACCAAGCGAACTCACTGTCCCTCTTTTAAGCCTTTCCCTTAAAGCTCATTTCTTTCACCCCAGCGTTCTACAACTTTTCTTTGTACGCAGCCTGAAGCAGTTGGCTTTGTAGCTGCTTCCACAGAACTGGTCTTCCAAGCTGCTTTTAACGTGCACAACAATGCTACCATTTAATGTCATATACGAATAAAAAAAAAAACCTACTAAAAAAATATAATTTTAAAAGGCTATAAAGGCAAATCCAATTCAGATTTTGAAGAATTCCCAGTGTCCTGAAGCACGCCACGCATACGTACCTCAAAGAGAACGTAGCCGAAGCCTTTACCCAAGCCGGTCTTTCTGTCTCTCACAATTCGCACTGCTACTACACCTCCGCAGACAGAAAAGTGTTCTCGCACAGCATCGTCACCGATGTCTGCAGGCAAGCACAATGAAACAGATGCCTCTTCAGTCAGACACACAGCTTTAGAAGCCTGGCCCAAATCCAAATATTTTGTATTTACCAATTCAGGTACAGAAACTTATATATTTAAATATATGTATTAATATGTAAGTATATACATATACACAA